TTAATTTCGAAAAAAACATGCAGCTAGAATGTTATTATATTTATAGAATTGGTCCAAAGGCAGAATTACGGGTTCAGGAAGTGGAGTTGCACCTGTCATTCGTAGCTGTTGATTTCAAACTGGTTTGAGTCACCTAATAGAAGTGAATTTTGCAGATTTATCGATAAAAAACATTATTGACGCAATAAAATGACTTTTCATGGAGTACAACGCCAATCTGAAATTTTGGCAAACATTGTCTATTCATGTCACTTTACAAGGATCTATCCTCCTTTGAAATGAGCCTGTTGGTTGGACATCGCGTGGAAGTCGAAAAAATGCCTAAATGGCTCAACATTTATTCTTCTTCGATCTTGATTTCATTCTGTTTCTCACTGATCCTCATCGGAGGAGTATTGTTTCTTTGGATATACACATTATCGATTGGTTTATTAAATCAGGTATTCGGGCACAATAGGCATACTCAAGCCACGAAGGAAAGCTACTTCTTATTATTACGGAATCACCACATCCAACACAGTTTAGGAAACATTGTACTGTTCCATCTGGTGGTCCGAGTACACTCGAGATAGATTCAAGTTGCATATTTGCATGTAGCCTAAGATTTTTTTGTAACAGTTGTTTTACCTTAGTGTTTAGTCTTTCATTGAGAGTAGTCTATCGCACACGTTTAAAGAGAGGAACAGAGAATAAAGAGCGAATTTTAATCAAGTATTAGGATCCACAGCGACCATTATTTTTTACATGATGTGATGAGTGGACGAAATAGGCATTTTAGTTGATTGATGAACAATTCTGCTCATCTCACTCAGTCTATTGGCAGATGCGCTTGGTGAATCCTAACGCCATTTTTATTCATCCTTTTCCATAATAAAATTCCGGAGTAAAAGTGAGATCAAATAGCATGAGAACAGGGTGGATTACATCAAATTAAATTTTCATGGGATTAGTCCCCCTCCCGGCCTGGGTGCAACATACCAAAATCTGTGCAAAGGTTATTTCAACGGGAACAAGTAGATATCTGAAAAGCATATTCAGCACCTCCCTCCCCCACACACAAAATTACAGTCTCTCAGTTGAACAGTAACATCGGGCTACGCAGTTGACGGTTTGGCTGTATACCCCCGGGAAAGAAAACTAAAATTGCCGTTTTAGTCAGTACTGAGGTAGATGACAAGAAGCATTCGCGAAAGAGTGGATTAATGAGCTGCGAAGAAACTGATTTCACCAGTTTCAGTGGTTACAAAAAGTCCATTGCAACTTCTCCTTGATTTTTCCTCAACGTCACTCAACTGTGCACATTATTGTTGTTTATTCCTGTCAGAGATTTCAAAAAACCCCAAAGGTCTTGATCTAATTTCTCTCCTTCTGTGTACAAAACGAATTTAATGGAATTATTGTGTTCCCGATATGCAGTGAAACTAACCTAATAAACTTATCAGCTGTTTTTAATCGATCAGTTCAGATTAGTAAACATGGTTGGAATTAACATTGATTGTAAAGGGCAACATCATAGCCAGAATGAGTGACTGTGGCATTTAAATGAACTAGAATGATTTCGTTTCACTTGGGGAAAAATTCACAGTTCAGAGTAGATAAGCTACTGCATGATGGTTGGTTATTGATTCATTTATTCTTAAACTTCTGAAGCTTCCATGTAACCTGTGAAGAATGTTGCATACCAAACGTTACGAACTAGTGATTTAACCGGTATTTTTAATTTGTAGTGTTGTGCCAGATGAAAAATATCCATTACGAAACGCACCCGAATTCCGCATCAAATTTACGCCCTCTTAACAATCCTAGTAGTCATTCGTGGTACACATATGCAGCAAGCATTGATCTGTACAAAATATTTGGCCGTTCAGTGATGATTCACCAAATGAAACCTTGGAAATAAATCTGGTGCAACAGTTGCAAAAGATGCTTAAATTATCTCATCCCTAACTTCCTACAAAACGTGACGTGAAGTATTACCATGTTTAATTGCTGCTTACGATATGACTTTTCTGTTAGAAAACCCGATCGAGCAGTTTGAATTATTTGATAGATGGCGCATATTTCTTCCTCACACTGTTGACCTTTCGGTTGAATTGACTTCCCCCCCCTCCTCCTCTTTTCCCCAACAACCCGCACGGGCACACATGGATAGCAAGAGAAAGAAAACACCGAACTTCGTGCGGAAGAGCTTGCACATCGAGTGCAGTCCCAAACAGAAGCCACAATGGACACGCAAAACCGGCGTGCATATCAATCTGGATACGAGAAGGGGTTGTCTCAAAGTGGACCAAGCCGGATTTCGGACACCGGGTCTGGTCCCAAAAAGACTCGTTTGGACGGGCAGATGGCGACAGATCGATTTGATGAAACGATGCATCCGGAATGTGGTCAAGTGAGTGGTCGAGTCAGTCGCCGGTCAAACCGGATGTATATGTGATACCGTGGGAGGTGGCTGGGAGTTCGAGGCTCAGCCAATCACAGGGACAAAATTGTTCGAATTGACGTTTTTTGAGACGAGGCTGATGGCTTACCTTTTGGATATCGTTTTACAGAATGCGATCGAATTTTATTTAAATTGTCTCTTTTCAAGTGAACAGAACAATGGGTCGAAAATTCTATTGGGTGTGCAGAAAAACACACATACGAACTTTCTCTCATAATAATCTGGCCAGAAATCGTACAAGCAAACAAATGGTCTACAGAATCATTTTTGTGTATCTCAACTAGTGTAGAAAAATAGCTGATTTAATAATAAACACCTGGTCAATAAAAAAATGGTCAGTGGTCTTCCACGCATCATTGAGGTAAATCTAGTGTGTCATCTATTTATTTTTCTTTATTTCCGTCTCTGCAAGTAGTTACCGGGATCATTTCACATACTAGGTAGGCAATGTGGAACACCTCGCAATCGAACAGATGATGCGTTCCCGAGAAATGCCGCGCGATTGATGACACAGAAGTGTTATGTCACATTTAATAAACAACCAGTGGTTGATCCAAATTCAAGAGGAAAACCGTAGCTAACATACGTCTACCGCGAGAAAATGGGATGACTATGATCATGATGAATTTACAATACGAAACCTGGGAACAATTGGCTGACTGTCTCTAGACCTCGACCACCAACGCGGCTCGCACATCATTACTGCTTATTTCCAACGAAAATTATTTGTTTTGTTTGAAACTTTTCGATTTTATTTGTTCCTTCATCACTGTATTTCTCACTGGCCTAAGTCTAATGGTGTATCAAACAACACCTTTCCACGATTGTTTGTTGAAAACGAGAATTTCAAGAATACTAGGTTTGATTTCGGTGTAGCAGTTCAAATCACCACAAACGTAGGTAGTGTTTTCATTTAATAAATGAAATATGAGAACAATATAACATTCTACATCTATTTCATAACCATTAAAAACATGTTTTAGTGACAAGAAACAATCCGTTGTGTCTTTTATGGCGCAGCCTGAGTCTTTGAATATGTCATAATAATGCTCCTTATTGAAATAAAAACGTTTGAAATACACGTGGAGTAGTGGTTCAGTCACTATAGCAGGAGTGCTATTGGACTCTATCGTCCGAGGTTCGCCTCAAGCCACCATCACCCAATTTTAGTGATAGGCAGCTGTCCTGTCTTCCGGCTCAATACCACTCCTAACCAATAGGGGCCTTATGTGGTTCACCACTCCAAGTCCTGGGGCTCAGGTTGCCGGTCTCCATCACTGAACAGCATGTTCTGGTGACAATGGGGCTTTTCCCGTTTTATGTCCAAAAAAGTGTATAATACGAAAACACAAAACCAGATACCACACAACTATGCAGTATTTTTTTCCGCTGACAACTTCATTTTCTCCGCAGAATTCCTGGACATGTATCTCATACTATGAACCAAGAACTACTCAGACTGACAAAATATTGAAAATCGGTTTTCGTAGCTCGGGTGAACTGAATTCCATTTTGCCTGTTCGCCGAGCTTGGCAATTTGTTTGCAAAAGTTTCATCACCAGCCGAGGTGACATCATCAGTGCTTGTGAAGTGGCAGTGTTCTGTCTGTAACCGTTCGTTTATATATGCGATCTTCTCCATCGGCTATTTTCGTCCCCTGTTCTCGCTGTGTTCGACTCGGTCCGCCGTTGAACTGTTGCGAGCGGGTGGGGGTGGGAG